TTGATCCGATCCAACTGGGGATCCTATAGGTGGGAGGGCATTACCCGAAGGTGTAGGAGGATTAGAAGGTAATGGTGGAGCGAACTCATCTCCTTGAATTGATCCCCCCACACTATCCTCCACTCCAAGCTGCTGCCCCATCGCTCTGCTAAGCTCCTCCAGTGCCCTCCTCTCGTTCTCCTCCATCCTGTCTCCGTCCCTACTCATACCTCGCGTAACTCTCCTATCTGGTTCCATAGAATCTTCGTACTTCTCCGAGGTTCGCACGGGTCGTCGGTAAGAGCGATCCTTGATACTGTCACGGCCGTCGAACAACTATCTTCTGGCAGACCAACGGTCGACGAACCTCGGCTAACTTGATGCTCCTGAGTCGAAGTCTCACCCAACCGAGAGGGCGCAGACGTCGAAAGGAGTGTAACTACGGCGTACTTCGGCGTAGTTACTCTAACTGGGGTTTTGTTCTACTGATGGCGATGTATCTCGAATTGTATATAGCTATCTCTATCTGTTTTTCACTACTGACAACAATCAAGGATCGCTGAAGAACTTCAGCGATCTTCTCAGCTAATATTATCTACTCCTCCTAGACGTTCATCCAACCCTCTCGCGCTTTGACGTACTTCAACGCACTTCGTCCAACTTCCCCGAGCCCTCGGCCATCCTCTTCCTCCTTCGACTAACTCCGCCTAACATCGCCGCACTTCTGCTCCCATTGTCCCTACTTAGCCTAACTCCGTCTAACTTCGCCGTACTTCTGCTCCCATTGTCCCTACTTGGCCTAACTCCGTCTAACTTCGCCGTACTTCTGCTCCCATTGTCCCTACTTAGCCTAACTCCGTCTAACTTCGCCGTACTTGGTGTCAGAAGTCCTGAGTTACGTGTAGAGTAAAGAGGTTAAGGCGTGATGGGGTTTTGATGGCCAAAGGAGGGTCATTGTTGGTGGAGTAATCGAGGTGTCACGACATAGTTCGTGACAAGAGGTGAGATCAATGAGGCGTTTCTTGATAGGTGTAGCATCGATTGCCTGACTGTTACAAATGAGCTCTTGATTTTCTGAGGTTAATGAAGACTCTGAAGAATGGGCTTCAAGGGAAGGGAGTGCAGGAGGAGTTGAGGGAGGAGGAGGGAGCAGGCGGTAGACTCGATTGGGATTGAAGGGGTGGAGTCCGGATTTGCGCCATCCAACTGCAATATTGTCTGGAATCATGGCTTTCTCTCGAGCAGTGACCAAGTCGGCAGCCCATTTGGCTTTAAAAATTGGTCCGGAGTCATATCATGCCGCAAGATCTGCGTACTTCATGAGGTGACACTTGAGGGGACTGAAGATGCCGGTATCAAGAGGTTGGGTCAGATGTGAAGAATGTGCAGGAAGAACCATAACATCAATGGATTGCTCAATACAGAAGCTGATAAAGTCTGCTTTGAGATGACTACCTGTCACGGCCGTCGTACAACTTCTGTCACAGGGTTGTTTCTTCGTTAACTTCCTAGGACCGACGGTGTCACGCCTGCGGGTAGACTGCGGTAGCAAAGGACTACCTTGGTAACTGAGGGGTTTAGTCTCTGGCTCGTGGACCTTGGTGACTGCCTTAGGTACTGAGGGTTCGAGAGGTTGGGTTAGAACCAACTGAGTGACTTATCAAACGAGGGTAAGGGAATTGAAAAGATACATTGCTGAAGAAGAAAACTACAGCACTAGATAGGGTTTAAATACTAAAATCAGCCTTTTCCAAGAGGCTCGTGCAGACCTGCGGAATACGAGCGCTCTGAACCGTTCTGCACTGTCCTGGATGCATTGCCATGCATCCCACCGATTACCACTGATATCCTACGATGCCATATCTGCGTTTACCTACGTCCTACTATGATATCCTACGTGATGCGCCGGAAACCGGTGACTTTGTCGAAGGTGGTCGATGAGGAACTATGAGGAACTATGCAGAACATAGAAGAGCTGCGAGAACAAGAGACTGAGAGATTATGCCTTACAAGGCATCAGAACAGAGGAACGAGAAACTAGAGAAGTACTTGGAGCTTATGCCTGTCAGGCATGAAAGCACAGGAAAGATAGTCTTGGGGTTAATGCCTGATAGGCTTGAGAGCAGAGGAAGATATGAGAGTGGAGGTTTGAACTTGTGATTATGACAAGTCATTATTTGATAGTGTCATTCATGACAGACGGCCAATAACTTCGTGGGCTTTGACCTTGAACTACCTCGTTGTTCGAAATATGAAATAGGTGCCAATAACTTCTGGGTGTAATAACTTCGTACTTTACTAACTTCCATCACTAAGACAACAACCAGAGATCGTCAAAGATCTCTGGGAACTTCGGCCCTTAAGTACTTCGTCCTTCCCTAACTTCTTCAACACAGAACTTCGTTCAACCCGAAGTCCCGAGCTTCGTACCTTACAAACTTCGTGCTTCCCTAACTTCATGTCTCCCTAACTTCGTATCTCCCTAACTTCGTATCTCCCTAACTTCGTATCCCCCTAACTTCGTATCTGACTAACTTCGCCCTCGACGAAGTTAGCCTCCTAATACCCTCGTGGGTGATGAAGTTCATGAGAACTGGATCGTTGATGGCGAACTGATGCCCAAAGGAACCTCGTTGATGGGGAAAGATGATGTCACGCGGCACCGCGTGACAACTTCCTTCTAATAGACCGACCGTTGACGAACCTCGGCTAACTTGACGCTTCAAAGTTGATGTCTCACCCAACCAGGAGGGCGCAGACGTCAAAAGGAGTGTAACTACGTGTCACGAACTACGTCGCGACACCTCGATTACTCCACCAACAATGACCCTCCTTTGGCCATCAAAACCCCATCACGCCTTAACCTCTTTACTCTACACGTAACTCAGGACTTCTGACACCAAGTACGGCGAAGTTAGACGGAGTTAGGCTAAGTAGGAACAATGGGAGCAGAAGTACGGCGAAGTTAGACGGAGTTAGGCTAAGTAGGGACAATGGGAGCAGAAGTACGGCGAAGTTAGACGGAGTTAGGCTAAGTAGGGACAATGGGAGCAGAAGTGCGGCGATGTTAGGCGGAGTTAGTCGAAGGAGGAAGAGGATGGCCGAGGGCTCGGGGAAGTTGGACGAAGTGCGTTGAAGTACGTCAAAGCGCGAGAGGGTTGGATGAACGTCTAGGAGGAGTAGATAATATTAGCTGAGAAGATCGCTGAAGTTCTTCAGCGATCCTTGATTGTTGTCAGTAGTAAAAGACAAATAGAGATAGCTATACATCGAGATACATCGCCATCAATAGAACAAAGCCTTAGTTAGAGTAACTACGCCGAAGTACGCCGTAGTTACACTCCTTTCGACGTCTGCGCCCTCCTGGTTGGGTGAGACATCGACTCAGAAGCGTCAAGTTAGCCGAGGTTCGTCGACCGTCGGTCTATAAGGAAGAAGTTGCTCGACGGCCGTGACACTACGGCGTACTTCGGCGTAGTTGCTCTAACTGGGGTTTTTCTCTGATGGCGATGTATCTTAATTTGTATGTAGCTATCTCTATCAATATTTCACTACCGACAACAATCAAGGATTGCTGAAGAAGTTCAGCGATCTGTAAACTATCTATACTTCTCCTCTCTTCTCATAGAACGTCACTCAACTCTTGTACAGCCTCGCGCTGAGTCCTCTTCGCTCAACTTCGTCGTACCTCGCCGTATCCCCGATATCCTACTCCGCTCACTCCGACTAACTTTGCCTAACTTCCTCTGCTCTGCTCTCCCTCGGTTTCCTTCTCCTAACTTCCGCCTAGTTCTCCGCTAGTCGGGGTTATCGTGACAAATACCCTCTAGGATCTCGTATCTTTGCCGTAGTCGGTCTCAGTGGTTCAGGTGGTGGTTGGCAATGGTGAAAGGAGGGTCGGTGATGGTGGTTGTCAGGGATGTTACGACGTGGTTTGTGACAGTCTTCAACAATCTCAGGGACACTACTTGGGGTGCTTCTCGACAATACAGGTGTGTTACTCTCTGCTGTGACTATATTGCTTGCCGGGGTTGACTTCTCAGTAAGTGTAAACACTAGATGTTCCCCTTTACGTCAACATGTCAATTCACCGCCTTTGAAAGAAAAGTGATCGGCTGTCGATGAGCCTTCGCAAAGATAACTCTCAACTAAGCGAGCAAGGTGCCAATTAGAAACATCTGTTTCATCCATTATGTCAGTTTGTGATTGAAGTGTGATTTTTTGCCGTGCAAATTAGGTCAAGTAAGAGTGGGTTGTGTAGTAAGAACTGGTTTCCCCTCCTACCCTTCCAAACCCCTTTATATCTCTTTCATGGAGGATCTGGGGGGTGGGGGTGCTAGTCTTCCCTGACACCAGCACCGCATTGTGGCGGTGGGGTTCTGTCTTTTATGATGTGATATTGGATGCGGTGCGGGTGTATGAAAGGTCGGCGTGAACGAGGGATGAAGGGTCGTGGGGAAAGATGGTCGCGAAGTCAACGCGACGTCATCGGCACAATGGTTGGAGCTTATATAGCTTCATCTCATCATGAAGGCTAGATATTCTCATTAAGTCGACTCGCATGTTTTAGAATCCATCGTGTGAGAAAGTGACGTGAGGGAAGAAAGGAAGGATGAGGCGGTGAGGAGTGGAGGAAGCCAGGAGGAGCGAGGTGGGGTGAGAAGAAGGAGAATGTTGACCAAGATCCGGCCGTAGATTCTCTTTTTACCCTTCACACACCCTTCTTACATCGTCCGTCGTCCATAAAGAGGTTTGTGGCCCTTGTAACCTCGTAAAACATTGATATGCATGTTAAGAAACCAAGTGATCTCGGAGACGGAAAAGGATGGTAGTCAGGTACCATCTGATTTGATGAAACGCACGGAGGTTTGATGAACAAAAAGCTCCGGTGTGATATTCACCATCACTCTACTTACGCGTCTCTTTACCTTCTTTCCTATTCTTTAACACTCTGTGAAGTGATATAGTAGTAAATCTCCTGTCTCATTTCATTTCAACTCGTTGTGTGAAGAAAAACCATAATGTCAGAAATCTCTCCTGAACCTGTGGAAGTTGTGGAGAAAACCGCCGGAGGTGTGGAAGGGATGGAGGAATGTACGAATACCGAGGATCCAACTACGAAATATTCGAAGAAGTATGTTGAGGAATATGGAGATTTTACGATTATATCTTCTGACGGCGTTGCGTTTTCTGTACATACTTATATGCTACAAGCTCATAGGTAAGCATGATCTGCCCTTCATTTCCCTTCGCTACATCTGTAATTCCGCGATTCGTTTCTTTCCGTGGGGTGGATATGATTCTCTTTCCGCCTATAACGTCCTCAATTCTCGGCTACTTACGGGATATGGAAGACTGGCCGGATGTCTCCTAGCATCCAAAGTTGAAGCCATATTAATTCGCAGTAAAACCCTCCGCGATCTCATCGCCTCCCCTTCATCCCGTAAACGAACTCATGAAGGTGATCCAAAAACCTTAGAAATAGAATTAACAGATGAAGAATTCGAAGATTCCGATACACTCAACTGGTTTTTCGATATAATCTACGGACAAAGACTTCAAACTCATTATCCTGAATTCATCTACGATACCATCGATTGTCTCCCAGCTCGATTATTTCGTCTCGCCAACAAATATGATTGTCAAATCGTAATGGAAACTCTCAGTTCACATTTCGTTCGTTGTGCCATTCAAGGGATAGAAGGTTGTTGTCCACTTATCATGTTTATTCTCGCGGCTCAATTGGAAATGCCAATTTTATGTTCGGCAATATTGAGAGGACCCTTAAGGAAGTTAGTATGGAAGAATGATCAACCTAGAGGAGTACAAGGTGCTTATAAGTTACATCCCGCCGCAATGCCTTGGGATCACTTCAAATTGTTACCTACACCATACCATTTTTATCTTCAAAGGGCTTTGATCGACTCATCCGCTACACCTTCAGCTCCTTTTGTTCCCACCAATCATCCAGCGGGAGCATTCAATTTACAACCGGGTTCACGAGCTCCGACACCTTCATCTACACCAAATCCTGTACAAGTGCATGCTCATTGGGATAAGGCGGTTAAGATTTTTGAAGGTGCGACAAAGATTCAAGGTCAGATACCGATTGATATTCCTACAAGTGAGTCGGAGATTTCTTGGTTAGTTGAGGTAATGATAGCTCATGTTTAGATTTGTATACTGTACCTATTCCTGGGTCTATGTGAGCTATGTCTTTGATCGATGATGTTTGGTATAAAGTTGTAGTTGTAGATGGATGGAATCGATGGATAGAGGGTGCCACAGAGCCACCGAAGCTCGTTCCCTTCCCCACCACCCGTATATCACACCTCCTGACTATGTACATACTTCATGCTTGTCTTGTACTCTATCAACATACCTCAAGAAGTCAGTTGTATTCATAATTTTAACTAAGATTAGCTCCCCATGCTGCTATACCAGCACCAATCGATCTTCAAGTTTCGGATGATTGATCAGGTCGAAAGGAGTTTTATATCTCCCCTCCAGCCAATGTCCGTCCACCGGTGTGTACTGTGATACTGTATCTGCGGGTGACAACTTCTCCTTCTCCTTTTCTTTCTCCATCTCCCTCTCACAACCTCACTACTATGCTCACCCTTCTCAAACCTGTGGACTCTTCCCGCACTTGATGTCGTAAGCTCACATGTGAAATTAATGATCCCCGTTCCGATTCCCAAGTTTCACGCCCATTGCCTACGTTGACTGACCATCTACTCTGTGCCTATGACACTGATCTCTTCGTTTCATGTCTTCTTTTTTTCTCTGCTTCCTCTCTCCCCTTCACTCATCCAAGCTGACCTTATACGTTCCTTGAATTACTTTCCTTATCCTTCTGACTACCAAGCATTGCCTCGTTGTTTCGTATGGGATGTGGAAGTTGAGAAACACATCTGATTTCGGAAACATACCTTGTCTTCTTTCTTTGTTCAAGTTGAGAGACTGTGCTCCCACATCTTCCCCTTCAACCCAGCAAATGACCATAGCGGATCTCGGACAAGCCAACAAACAAGATCTGGAAGAAGATGGAAGTACGGAGGATATGATAGATCTGGGAGGAAAGACTGCCGTGGAAGAGAAGAAAGTCAGGACAGAGGAGGAGGGTAGAATAGAAGAACGAGGTGGGATAGCACCTGATGGGCAAGTATTGCCGGATTGGTTATCATACATTCAAGTAAGCTGACCAGTTTTTGAATCAGGTCGAGCTGACGAAGAAGGTGACGACGACCATCGATGGAGAAGTTTTCACTACTGGTACCATTGTGAATTTACCTTTGACTTGTGAGTTAGGGTTTTATTTGTATTTTATTTTTTCTTCAAGATATGTGTGAGGGGAGGTAGGGCTGATATGGAGACTATGGTCCTCCTATTCCACTGGGAACAGACTGGGTTTATGGAGGTTTAACTTCACCTGCGTCTACACCGACCGCAGCTTCTATAGACCAAACGACTTCTGCTTCCCCTGTCAGCACTTCGACCGAGGAGATCACTACGGCCCGAACGACAACTCGATCCGCTTCTAGGATATCTTCACCAAGTCTGGCTACCATATCATCAACTGTATCGCAGACTACCCCATTTCCTTCATCTTCATCATCTTCATCATCGTCCCCTTCGTCGAGATCCTCAGCTGTTTCACCCTCCTTCTCTACGTCCAGCACCACTCTCAGTCCCGTCTCATCCACGTCATCGGATCCTCTCCCTAATCCATCCTCGACAACAGCATCCTCCATCTCTGCTCCGTCTCCCTCCAACTCCCCTATTTCTTTTCACTCATCCCACCTGATCCCACTCCTGCCTGCCATTTTGGTTCCTCTTCTGGCAATCCTACTTCTTCTCCTACTGCTCTTCCTGTGCTGGCGTCGTCGATCTACATCCGGTTATTCTACATCTCTGCAACCTCCAAGAACCTCTAAATTCTTCTCTGTGCCTCGCAGTGTCTCTAACCTTCGAACGCCATTCGCTTCTTCCGCACCGGATCCAAAGTCACCGGATGAAAAGTCTGCCCTCCTCCCTGGCTTTCTGGCCCAGCACCATCGACAGTCATCCAGTAGCGTGGAGATGGATGATGAGTTGGCGGGATTGGTAATACAGAACCAGTCACTTCTTCATCGCCTAAATTTGGGTCTAGGAAGAGGAAGACCCTCTTCTCGGAGGGTGAGTGGGAATACGGTGGAAAAGACCGCGGGACTGGGACTTGGAGTCGGTCCTGCGGCAAGAAGGAGAACTTCAAAGGGCTTACCCCGAAATGGTAGCGGTCATATAGATCAAGCTGACCAGATGGACGAGAAGGCCACAAGCAGGGGAGATAAATTTGTGACAGATGGAAAGGCGAGAGGGGATGTTTCGATTGAACCCAGTGGTGATGATTCCGGTCCAATAAGTTCTGGAAATGAAGACAACCTATTCTTCCGTCCTCCAGGTGAAACGATTTCATCTCATGGTACGACAGATGAATCTTTCTCCATACGTAGTAGTGGAGCCAGTATCCCCAGTCGAACACGTTCCCCAATAAGGACTTCATCTCCTCTTTCAGGAGGATTATTTCCTTCTACCTCTCAACCAAATCGAGCGACTTTCCTTGGTGTTCAACATTCCTCCTACAGCTCCCAGAAAGGTAACAAAACTGACGACTCAAGAGAAGAAGGGAGTAAGAGTAGTGATAGTCATTCAAGTTCTTCAGGAACTAAATCTTCGTCTTCAAAAATTCGTCCTTCTAGATTATCAAGAGAATTAGCTCAATCCATCTCCCCAGGTAGATGGCCATGGGGAACTAAAGGACCAGGATCGAATTCAACTCAAAGTAGACAAAGTTCTTATAGTATCAATAATACTAGAGGGCAGCGTGGATTGAATAATGGACAAGGATCACATAGTACTGGAAGCGGAGGAGGATCTCATAGTACGAATAGTGGGTCAGGTTGGAATGTTGGAGTACCAGAAACACCTTCTACGGGAGCTATGTTAGATGGTGATACTGGTGATTTGGGGGAGTTCGGAGGTAGATTAAGAACTAGATGGGGGGAAGAAAGATTAAGGTTTCCTGCTCCTCCTGGATTAGGGAGAGATAGTTGGGTAGGGACTGAAACGGAGGAATCGTGAGTGGATCCACTCCTCCCCATCACCACCACTATTATCCATCCCGTACTTCAAGCCTGCAGTGTCCCTTGGATGACCTGGTTGTGTTTTGTCACCTTTTCTCTGTCACACCTTCTCTTTCTGCTGAGGCCGCACAGATTTCTGTCCATCTGAAACCGAGTCCATACACACAGGTGAACGGTAGTAGGAAAATCTATACGTTCCTTGTTAGAGAGCAAGAGATGGGGATGAGGAACTAATATAAGATATCATACGGCTCTATCCGGAACATCCTCCAATCCACCTTCATCCACCCCTTACCTAGGTCAACCAATCTCACGAGACGACCCCTCATACGCTCGTGCACCTTTATCAGCATTCGGTACACCTAATCCTTCTCCACCAAGATTAATCTCTCCCGCTCTTCCTTCCACCCCATCTCCCGGTGCTGTAAATACCGTTCTCCATTCAAAAGGAGAATTAACGCCACCGGTACCACAATTACCAAGAGGATCGAGTCCTCTGTCTATTCTTCTACCTAGAAGAGGATCTACTCCTCCGTCTCTTCTTTTACCTAGAAGAGGATCTACTCCTCCTTCTATTCAATTACCTAGAAGAGTCTCAACATCCTCATCTTTGCTGCCACCTCAACATTCTTCACCTCCACCAATACCAAGAAGTAGAAAAACCTCTTCGCCTGAACGACACACCAGGAACGTTTCTCCAGAAAGGGAACCTTCACCATTACGCAACGTTGTCATTTATCCGTCCCGGTTATCTTTCCCCTCTGTTCCTACTCAACCCTCAAGGTTGACCGATGGTCAAGTCTCAAATCTTGACAATTCACCGCCGAAAGATCGGTCAGGAGTATCACTCGGTCAGCCATCTCAGACTACGTCGAATGTCGTCAACTCCTCCATTCCCCCGGACCCTAAAAGTGGTATACCTGAAGCCTCGACCACGAATCCACAACCTATGGAAAGAAAAATCTCTTCCAGGATAATTGCTGCTGAAACGAACCCACACAATGTTCGTGTACCACTACGTGCAGCGGAGAAAGAGAAAGAAAAAGAGATACCTAAAGCGACAGGATCAAGAACAAGTTGGTCTTTTATAGCTCATGGTATATGGGGTACTTCATCAACTTCTGATTCTGGACATACTCGTGCATCTTCAGAGAAAGTCGGAGGGACAGAAGATTCTCATTACACATTAGGTCCAAAAGTCACACATCCAATGTTACGACAAGGTGGAAGAGTTGAGTCTATCGATTCGGATTATCATACTGGAGAAGAAGAGAGTTTAATCTCTCATGAAAATACTTCTGAACTATCGGAAGTTCTTCATGAACAACCGGATAAATCGAAAACCCCTCATGAACAGACCAAGAATCCTTTCACTAAACAAGTCGGAAAGATGAATGTGACAGACGACCGAACAAACGAAGAATTAGTGAAGAGAAGAAAGATTGACACTGCTCAGAAGGGCACTGAAGAAATCCAAGAAAGATTGAATGTCGCTCCACCTTTATTTCAACTTGGCAATGGAAGTATAGGATCAGAAGAAAGACCTAGAGAAAGTTTTCAAGGAGAACCAAGAGTTGTGAGAGAGGAAAAAGGTGTGAGGGTGGTTGATGATATTAATGAATTCGGAGTTCCTTTAAGGTCTGTTAGTAATCCTGTGAGTCACCTTTTTCAACCACTTCTCGTATCTTCCAACCACAAATCTTTCCCTCTTAGAATATCACCTCTATGTCTCTTTTTCGATTGTCGACTGTCAATTCTTGACGATTACCTCTTTCAAGTAGATAGATGGCCCCACAGAATCATTGAAAACCTCCCCGTACCATCTACTCTTGCCTATCTTCTCCTCACAGTGATAGTGATGACCTTATGAAGATAAAAAAGAGAGGATATATGACACACCCTCTATAAGATGGGAGTCTATGATCCAACTTTAATGAACCAATTTGGTTCTGAAGGCATCCATCATTACTAAACATCATCTTTCACACTCTCATGATTCTATAGGGACCACAACGATATCATCTACATATCGTATTATCTCATAAACCTGAAAACGTGTTTCTTCTTCTCGCCGTACGAAATCACCCATTTCCCATCATTTAATTTCGCATCATCTGGCATTGTCTTGAAGGATTGAAGGATTGAAGGACTGAGGAGGGGACAAGTCAGAAAAGGAGGAAGAAACTAAGTTTCAGGTCCAAGTATCAAGAGAAACAACACCTTCGAATCATAGTCAAGAAGGATCTATTCATTCTGCCGCTCAATCTTCCGGATCGGGTCATTCACAAGATGTCGATCCGGTCAAAGCTATACGTGGAAGGTGAGAATTGTCGATTTTCTTTACATTATGTAGACTCTATCTATCAACACTTTCCTCAACTTGAAAGACTTTTCTCACTTTTGATCAACTCAATATAATCACATACTTTATATCTACATCTATCATTTGCATCAAGTGAGTTTATAGTGTTCGCTGATACGTAGACGAAGTCAAGGAACCGTTCTTCGGACATCTGGTTTAGTCCCTCCTCGTGAACAACAAAAAGCGTAGTCAAAGATTTCTATCCTCTTCTCCTTTATACCATCCTGTAATTTTGGTACCACAAAGACCACGATGAACGGTTTGTTTTGTACGAAGTAAACGATGTTTGTTCATACGAATATAAATGTCCTATACGACCAATATGATCAATTGAAATGTGAATGTCACAAAGAAACATGAATACATGAAGAGAACGTGGATGTTACGACTTGCAAAAAGTGAAACAAAGGACAATTCACTGCATTTACCCATTTATGCATATCATTTGGTATCAGTTTCAATACCTCTTTGTCTTGCTCCACTTGTTCTTTCCACTATATCAAACCGTCCTTTCGAATGCGGCATTTTCCATAGATTCCGACTGGGGAATCTTTGCAGTAGGTAGCAGGTAAATGGAGCTGGCAATAGTGGTAGGGTGACAGGTGTGGTGCGAGTTACTTAGAGTACAGCAGGTAGCATAGGTAGTGATAGGGAAGAATGGGGAAAAGTGCCACACTGCCACATTCCATTCCCTTCCCTTCCTCTTCCCCCTCGCCTCCACCTCACCCAACTCACCCCCTCTTTTCATACGATACATATCCTACATACACTCATCTGTTACATCAAGACCGTTCACAATGTTCGGAGCTATAGTAGCTGGTAGACTTGTGTAAGCTCTTTCTCCAACACACTACCTCCACAAAAAAGTACTAACGGACAGACAGTCAGACAAACTTACAACAAGTGTTAGTTTTTATCTCAACTTCTATCCGACCTTAGGTTTCGTTCATCACCAACATAAACTCTATTCACATCGAGTCATATGTGATGATACCCAAATCCTGTTGGATAAATCTCCGTCATGAGTTAGCACTGTTGAAATCACTCTGTGTCATGATCGACAGTAATAATCCTCTACCCCCTGCAATCCATTGTTTGACTAAGAGAACTACATACTGTTCAAGTCTTTTGGAATATGATCTCGAAAAGGGACAAAAGTGGAAAAGGTTTAGACTGATGAGTTAAAGAGACGATACTCATTTTATATTTCCTATAGAAAATCCACACGAGGTGAATCATATGACGGTGTTTTTATTAGGTACTAGTGAGTCTTCCTCTACCTCACCCTCTGTTCCCTTTCTTTATTCCCATTCCCGTGTGTCTCTCCCACAGTGTGGAATTGATCATATGTTCGCCCTTCATGACTTTCAACGATATCTCTCTTTTGGTGTTGTCAAAAGAGTTGCTTGATCTTTTGATTCACTCTCATGATGTGTTCGTGCGTACTGAGAGTATGTATCATTCGAAGGCTTATTCAAGGAAATATGGTGGATTCGATGTTGACTAGCAGTACCTTTTCCTGAAGGATATGGAGCTGGAGTACATTTTGCTTGGCCAGGTGGAGATTATATTCCATTAGGATAGTAAGTTCATCCACCTTTCTCTTAGTTTCTCTTTCCCATCCCCATGATCTCTCCCCCTCTCTCTCCTCTTCGGCCTCAAGCCCCCTCCCAACTCCGAACCTCTTCCTTGCCCACAGCATGGTTTTCCTGTGGTAGTCCCGTCCGTTCCTCTCAACATCGACACCTCTAATCGACCTGGAGCACTGTCTACTTAGTACTCACATTGCAAACTTTCATGATAGATAAACCCCGTCATATGATGTTCATCAAACTCATGAGCAGTCTTAGCAACGATAAACCTTCTGCGATATTCCGACTTCGATCCTCTTCTTCATCTTCTCTCGTCCCTACTCACGGTCATCAAGCTGCATATATAGGGATCGAACTCATACATTTGTCCCAACTTCGCATTATGATAGAATCTAGTGAAGAGGATAAAGTGAAAGGGAAAGAAGTGGCGGCGAGGACTGATGTGGGGTTAGTAGCTGAGAAAGTTGTGAAGAATGTGAGTTTTCATCCACTTGTCATTCTCCAAATCTTTTGTTCATTGTAAATCCTTCACCCTTCAAATCTTCGTTTTCCATCTTGTGGGTCACTTTTGGGTAATCATGGGGTGATGTGTCAATTACGTATGACTGATGCGTGTGATATCGCTTCGGATAAGAATTGACAGCAGCTTTTCAATTATCTCCATTCATTTGGAGGAGAGACGAAATTGACGTGAGTTCTTACTCTTTTTGACCCCTTTCCATCACCTACTATGGTTGTGGGGATGAGTGTATGAACCTGGTCAGTGATGATAAGGCGCTGAGATTTAGTCCCGAAACACCAATCCCACTTTCAGTGTTCGAAAAGTGGTACTCTAACTTTCTCCGGAAGATCGAAATGGATCGCGGGGCGTCTTTCCTCGATCGAGAGGAGTAGATAGTATTTTACCCTTGGGATTTTTTTTAAAAAAGTTATCAGACTGGTTCTTCTTTATCACTTATCGTTTTTCTACAATTGTCAGACCGGTTCGTCCTTATCATTCATCGTTTCTATGAAGTTTTTTGAACCCATTCGTCTTATCCAAAACTTGTCAGACCCATTCCCCCTCATCATAAGTTACTTTTGTTTCTATCAGTGACTCCGACTCCATGACCACGTACTCGTGTCTTCTCGTACCCCATCCTTCCCAATTAGTCAGAGTAGAGAATTTTTTTGAATCCCATGCATCTTTTATATTCTCTATGACAAATTCTTTTATGACCAAATATACCAATGAGATGCCTGAGAAAGCTCTCACAATGTGATTTCCCTCTGTTGATGTCTTACTCCCGCAAGATGCTCATAAAAACATTTTCCCCCGATATAGAAGACGTAATCGAGTAAGAAGGTCACAACGATATTCCACCGTCGATGACAGAAGAGTAACAAGTGGACGACGAGCGTCAATGAGATGAACGGCATTTGATCATATCAATAACCTAATAATTTCTTTCTTAAACCTTGAGCAATCTCCTCCCTTCTTTCTCTTCTCCAAATTTCGACTTTCCTCCAACCGTCTAATTCTTTCTTCTCAAATTCTTCCCATCCCTTTCCCCTCTCAACTCCCTCCCGTCCCTTTCCCCTCTCATTCCCCTCCACCTCTAGACGCTCAGTACCTTCACTTTCCTCTTCTTCCTCCTCTCGACTTCCCAATTTTCTGCCCTGTTCTAGTCTCGCCAAACGATCCTCTGCTTCATCCATCAATCTCATCAAAAATTCTGAATAGGTCCATTCGTACGGTGCACCGAAAACAAGTTTTTGTCTCATTGTCACTACTTTTCTAATCTGTGCATCTTGTTTCTCCTGGGTGATCTCGATGGGTTGGTTCGTTCGGGATGGATCAAGACCCGGTGTTAACTTAGATCCTTCGAGATCTGTTCCAGCCGTTTTGTCCTCGTGACTGGCGACAGCATGACCATTGAGTCCCGAAGTACCAACGAAATCCGGATCTTTAATATTATCCGGACCGCTGATAGGAGCCGAATCGTTATTAGAATTCAGGCTTTTGACAGGATCCGATCCACCAACCGAATGGGGACCTTTATTAGTGGAAGTAGTGGAGAAATGAGCTGAATGGGCGGTATTGAGGGAGGAAGATGGTACGGATTTAGAATGAAGAGTGGAATTAGAGGATTGAGAATATGGATTACTAGGGTTTAGAGGTAATTCCGGATGTTTTGAGAAATCAGGAAGTTGATCAGACCATAAGAAAGAAAATAAACGTGCTTGGATCTCTGCGAATGGGAATGGAACGATTTGATATTCTATATGTCAATTGTGATCACTTGTATATATCGTTTAACGAGGAAATCCGGAGAAGGATAGATTTGGTCAGAAAGGATTTTAAAGATGATAATTTATAGATGATAAATATTTATATTGACAAACAAGAACATAACCAGAAAGGTTTCGCGGTCAAATCGATCACCTGCCGGTCCGGTGTTCATGTCAGGTTCAAGTAGTTGTGGTACAATATGAAGATGACTGTGTGATGGAAGATGACTGTATATTGGAAGAGACATAATGATGGAAGATACAGAATAATGGAAGAAACAGATTGACTGGGAGAAAAAGAATCATGTGTGAAATCACTGGAAAAAAAGAAAAGTTGAAACTCACGTAAAACAGGAAAAGCAATACTATTATCATTTTTCAAAAACAACAACAATTCATCTAATCCTTCCATTTTCAATCCTTTCAAACCACCAATTTCATCCTTCCAACCATTTTCTCTTTCCCCATCATCGATATAACTTTTTAAAATCCCATTAGAGATCCAAGGTTCATCAGTGGTTTTACAAAATGGTAAAGAAAAATAATATCCCGTAGCGAAGATTATAACATCCACATCGGATATTTGTTGGTCATCTTGAAGATTGATTATACCTTTTGTATGATTCGTTGTTGATGGTGAAATTGATTTGATTAGAGGAACGAATTTTATAAAAGGTGTCCATGGTTGATCAGGAGTGTTTGAATATTGTGTTTGAGAAGATGCTGAGAGATATACTTTTGTATATTTTTCATCATCCGTTGTGATGTCATTCCCCGATGCTGGTTGGTCGGTTTGAGTCATCGATGAGGTCGATGAGGCCAAAGTCACCGTTGAACGTTTGTCCGTAGGTGAGGTCGATGATATGTTTGACGATAAGGAAGGGTTGGTAGAAGAACAAGAAGATGTTTGTTGATTCGATTGGGGTGGGTTTGAAAGATGAGAAGAATGTAAATTCAAAGAAGCTATTTGTCTAGATAAATCAGAACCAGAAGCGAAAGATCCAACTACCATAACACTCTTCCCTCTGAATTCCTCTGGGTCGAGAAAATATCTGGAATGTATTATCTCCCCTGGAAATGAAGATAAACCAGGTATGGAAGGTATGTATCCTTCAGCATAATGACCGTTTGAAACTACTACATGATCGAATGTATCTGAGGAAGTTATAGAGGTTTTGAGGTTGATAGTTTGGATGGTCCATCTTCGTACGCTGTTTGTATCGGTGGATTTGGGAGAAAGATAAAGACGTGTGACACGGGTTTGAAATTGGATATGTTGATGAAGAGAGAATGTAGAGGCGTAGGATTGTAGATATTTAAGAATGGTTTCTGTTCGTTAACTCTACGATGGTCTTTGAGTTTATTCCTTTGTATCGGTATTGCGAGTGAATCCGTGGTTGACTGTGATGCCGGGGTGAATGCCAGTCTTGCGGAAAGCTAGGGAGAAGGTGATTCTCAATCAGGAGGGAGACCAGGGAGCTGGAAAGAATAGGGGACAATTTGAAAGAGTGGGGAGACGATTGAAAGAGTGGGGGACAATTGGATAGAATGGAGGACAATGAGAAAGAAGAGGAGCAGAAGAGATGACAGATCATATAGAACAAATGAAAGAGAAAGACAGGTGTGAAGAATGATGGAAGACAGATGAACGGTAGCAGAGAGAAGGGAACGGAGAGCGGGGAATAGGGAATGGGTGAAGAATGTGGGAAGATGACCAAAGTGGCCAGTTGGGAAAAAAAGGGTGAAAACTCACTTCGATCTGGAAAAGTAGTCGTATCAGGTGGAAACAAATGATCACGATAAGCCATTAGATCCTGTTCATCAGAATTATTCATTTCTCGTCATACCTTTTTTCTCACACCGAATCCTATAGTGGCCCAGCGGACAGTAACAATCACAGCCACCTGAGAGATTGTTGATGAAGACGACCGTACCCATCACAACTTCCGGGCCTATCGAGACGATTGGTTATCCAGGACTGAAATGAGAGTAGTTGAAGAAAACCAAAGATGCGTTCAAATGAGAACATACGTACATAAGGTAAATTAGTCCTTAAACCATGATACATAGGAGAAGGATCCGTTCCAATTGGAGGATAAACAATTATAGAATCTTGATCATTTTGATGAATATCTTTCCTTAAATATTTCTTTGGAACATCATCGGAAAGCCTGGGAATCAATAACTTCCTCTCCGTACTCTTTCCGCTCCTCCAGAGTTAGTATCTATTCCCCGATACCAGAGAAAATATCAAGGAATACGGGTACCCCGTTCAAGCCAAGTACCCGTAAAGAAGGATACTCTAATTTTGACGGTTGTGGTCTAGGAAGATCTCTCTCATTCTAATGGTTGTGGTCTAGTAACATTCCTTCTAAGGATGGTTATATCCGTAATTAGCCAGTCCAATGGACTGAATATGAATTGCTTTCAAAGTGAGAGGATGGAGTTTGAAGAGACAAAGGTGACATTTGTGAGGAATACTCGTATACTTATTTTCACAGAAGGAATAACTACTTAGGGGGGACAAGAGAGAAAGAGAAAAAAGAGAAGAAAAAACTTACCATACACCTCCAACATCTTCTTTACTTTCATAACAAACTACCTCTACCGATCTCCCCACACGTCGGAAAGTATCTATCAATTGTTTTATACTTGTTAATCCTGATGCTCCTGCACCTATGATAGCGATACGTTTACGTGTCATTATGTCGTCTTGTTGTCTTTTTATCTTGTTATTCCTTCTTACTATATGGCCTTATCACAGATGTGTTCACCGTGGATCCACTTTAAGGAGATGTTGAGAGATCTTGATTTGATTCCTCACTTCCACTTGAAGTTCAGATGTTGAGATCTAATTGATTGTTAAGATGGTTGAAAATCTTAGGCTGTGAGCTAATGCTTAAGATGTAAGTGATGGAAGAGGGAGAGATAGATATTTTGACGAAGTCCAAGTTAGGTGTTCTTATCTTTTCGGTCTTTTCCGATTCCCACATTGAACAAAACTCGCTTTGTCCGATGACACTATGGGTGCTTTTATATATGCTACGGGTATAATTGCATCTCCTCTGTCGCTATGTGTTACTGTCGTAAAGTAGAGACGATGAGATGTAAACGTAATAATGAATTGCAGATCATATCATACTATAAACACACTAAAGTCTAATGATTACTTACTTAAGCCAAGATGGTGCGTATACATTAATCCTTCCTTATACCCGTGAGTATTCTACACAGGTATATCAAGACTAAAAGCCGGCCATCCCCAATGTGGAAACTTCAAGACCATACTCCAGAGATGGTTTCATGACTTTTCAAAGACATTCACTTCCTTCAACAACATCACCAACCCTACCCCCCAACTCTTCAACCTAGTACCCCAAAACACGTTTCCTCAAACCAGCTCCCAATTCCGCTCTCCTGACAATACGCCAAGGTTCGACCTTTCTCCAATATTCCTCTGAACCTTTTTCAGCTTCAGAAGTGATAGACATGATATAATCCGTATAAGCCCATTCGTATGGTGCGGGAAAGATAAACTTTTGTCTCATTGCGTATACCGTTCTGACATTATGTTTGATTTCGTCTGAACCGATTTCTCTTTCTCCTTCTTCTTGATTATCACTCGTAGTTGTCGATTCCCCGACCTCATTCTTCTGCAGTACCAACGTAGAAGGATCGTTGACAATATTGGAAGGGATATTTAGGTTAGAGCAAGGGTCGGAGAATTGAGGAAGAGGTGTATTGGAAGTTATATCCTCTGCAAGTTGGTCGATCACCGATACCGATATTTCCTCTGATAAAGATACTTCAAGACCAGAGGTTTTCGAATTTGAAGATGTCGATGCAAAAGAATGAATGGAAGGCATGGATGGAGACAGTCCTCGTGAAAGAGAAAGAGGTGAATCCAGAGATGGATTGGTCGGAGAAGGGGTTGGAGGTGGAGTAGGAAGTGTGAAATATGGATTACCAGGATTAGGTGGTAAGGTTGGATGTTCAGGAAAAGAAGGTAATAATCCTGCCCAGAGTAAAGCGACCAGACGAGCTTGGATCTCCGCGAATGGGAATGGAACGATTTGGTATGCTACTTCATGAGCTCTGTTCGAATTTCATCGTTTCAACCCTGAAATTTCGGATTTAGGGTATGATATTTCTCTTCCATAAGACATCATCTCGACAGGAAGTCGATCCGATACCACAATCTTGAAGAGTGGGTATATTCCCCTTATTATATACCGCCATGTTTCACGAGTTCACTTCGAGAATATGTAGTTCACTTCGAGAATATGTAGTTCACTTCGAGAATATATGGTTCACTTCGAGTTCGAGAGTTCATAGTTCACGTCAAGAATATTTAGTGACTCGTCCAGAATATACCATGATCATAAACCAAGAAAGAATGATCGGGAATAGATTGATCCCAATTCTGGGAATCAATCATGAAGTAGAATAAAGAGAGTTGATAATCAGAAGAAAAGTGATATTGTGAACAACTCACGTAAAAGAGGGAAAGCGACGCTCCTATCATTTCTTAAAAACAATAACAACGCATCTAAATTCTTCATCATAAAACCTTTCATACCACCTTCTTCTTCTTCCCATCCACCTTCTCTTTCTCCAGCTTCGATCGTCCCATCTAACAATCTTTGTGATTTCCAAGGTTCATCAGTCACTTTACAAAATGGTAAAGAACAGTAATAACCTGTAGCGAATATTATTACGTCTATGTCTGATAGATCATTTTCGGTAGGTATAGATTCAAAGTCGATAGTTTGTATGGTTTCTTTTAGATTGTCAATTTGTTTGAGAGTTTGTATTCCGTCTTTGGAATGATCAATATGTATCCCGTCTTGTGAATGATCGTTATGTATCTCATCTTTTGAAGAGTCAATATGTACGCCTATTTTTGGAGAGTCTATATGAACGCCTGCTCTCGATTGGTCGATATGTTCTTCATCTTGTATAACCCCGTTTGGACAGTTGGTACTTTGCTTGAAATGTATCACACCTTTTGGATGATGGACAGAAGGAGGAGAGATGGAAGAAATGATAGAGACTAGGTTTATATGTTTAGACCAAGGTTGTTCTGAAGATAAAGAAAAAGCAGTTTGAGGTGTTACGGAAAGATAAACTTTTGTATAATTTTCATCTGTGGGAAGGATTTCTCTTTCCACTTCCTCTCTTCCCACCTGATCATTTGGATCAGACTTTCCATCCACATCTTGTTTCTGTGGTATGATGTTGGTTCCTCGTTTTCCTGAATTGATATCGATTGATGAACTTGACAAACCACTTGTATTCCTCTCAAGATCATCACCACATGATGCATTTTCCAAGTCGAAATCGTTTCCTTCAAGAGGAGAAGAGGAATTGGGAGAAGAAGATACATTCGGACTGATAGGAGTAAGAGGTATTTTAGAAGAAGATGGTTTACCTCGAGCGAGAATCCTTAAATGAGAAGGTAAATTTAAACTAGCTAAATGTCTTGAAGTATCTTGTCCAGAAGCAGAAGAACCAACTACCAATACCGTCTTTCCTCTATAATCTTCAGGTTTATGATAATACCTCGAATGGAGGATTTCCCCTGGGAAAGTTGCGAGACCTGGGATGGAAGGGATATGTCCGTCGTAGTAATGTCCGTTGGCGATGGATATAAAGTCGAACGTTTCTTCGTTTTCTTCATCGGTTAAAAGGTTTTTGGATCGTAGTGTCCAGCGACGGGGTAGGATTGGGTTCGACGAGCTCGACGGGCTTGAAGATGGATCAGGGGAGGAGTTTGATTGTGTAGTGAAGGGGGAGTTTGGAGATGGATTGAGGGTGGAATCAGAGGAAGAAGGGAAAGAGGTGGAGGATGAGGGAGTGGAAGGGGTCAAGAACAAACGTGTGACACGGGTGTTGAATCTTATAAGTGGATAAAGAGAGAAGGTTTTAGCGTATGAAGATAGATAATCTTGTATGGTTTCTGATCATTACTCATCATACTTCATCTTCGTGGGAGACGATTTGAAAAGGGGGATCATGATGAATACGTTTCTTGCCAGGTCCCAGATATCGTCTCAAGTTCAAAATGACAATGACTTGGTGAGGAATGAAGCCGACAAGGAGAACGAGAGGCGTCGTGACTCGTGACAGGTGGAAGTGAAGTGTGGTCCGTTGCAAAAAGGGGAGCTCGACGCTGGGCTGGGGGGGGGGGATGAGTACGTAGAGAAGGAAGAGGGTCAAAAGAGATAAGGGCACTCACGACGATCACCAAATTCCGGAGCATCAGGTGGAAAAAGATGTTCCCTAAAAGCCATAAGGTCCTAAATATCAGACAACCCATCTCAGATAAACAAGAATGTTCAAATTGATTCAAACGAGGAAGAATTTCATCCAGATACATTTTAAACTCAACCAGTGTGAAAGTTGTTGAACTTTTCATGAATTCAAGAAACGTCTGGGTCATGGGATATCCTTCAAAGTATTCACCATTGCTCGAATACAATAAATATCAGGAGACCAAAGCGGTGACACTATAGCAGTTCCGAAATCAGGAAGGTAACTTGGGAAAGAGGGAATCACAGAAAGACTTAGAAGTAAAAGAACAGGTGGACGACAAGAAAGGAACATGTGGAAATGTCACATAGAAAGGTTGACTGACTCACAGAAGGTACATTCACCCTCAAACCAGGATACATAGGAGAAGGATCTTTTCCCTTTTCAGGATAAACCAAAACAGTTTCTTCACCCTTTTCAGATTTATGATTTTTCTTTTGATAAGATTTTGGTTTTTCATTTGAGAACCTGTCAAAGTCAGTTTCGTCCACTTTATATATACCAGTGAGTATGGTAATCTCTAAATCTCATCAGTCATCGATGAGAATTGAAACGAAGATCAAGTCGCCTCTTCAGCTTCCTAGATACTTACACACTTCCACCTGTACCTTTTCGACGGGAGAAGAACGAAGAGATTAAAATGATATATGTGACAACTCTCGATTTTCAAAGTCTACGTTGAATAGAAGTGTTAATGAAGATCTTCTAATATAATCCAATTGGGACGATAGTGAAAGAAGACCAATGGAATTTCTCATTTCCCACTTCATCCCTCCGGAATACAGTGAACATAACAATAATCACGAAACTCGTTCTTTGAACGAAACCCGACAATAAGAGAGAAACAATATTTAATTAGACTCACCAAACACCTCCAACATCCGAATTACTTTCAAACCCCACTACTTCCACTTCTTCTCTCTCTACAACTTCAGATCTACTAAAAGCATCTTTAATCTGTTTGAGAGAACATAATCCAGCAGCTCCGAGTCCTATGACTGCTATTCTTTTCTTGTTCTTGAACCCACCTTGTGACATCTTCTCAATCCTAAATTCTGATGAACCGTACAGAGTTCACGGGTTGACTTGGGGTTGAAGTTTGAGAAATTCGTATTCGACCTTCGAGGTCGGGATGATGGAAGTATCTTGATCCTAAATACTCGATAAGTTCTGGGGGGAAGGACGATAAGGTGATACTTTGTACCCACGAGTGTATTAACTCTCTCGATAAAGTATTTCGATATCCGGCAATACCTACTCTTGGTCCGATGGAAAGATGATAGGCTAATAACCTGATGTACCCAAAACCTTGTTCTCCAACATTACTTCCAGTTGAGATGATAGTGAGGAAAAACTAAAGCCTCTTATGTCCAACTTCACTCGATCCCCTTTAAGAGAACAGTGAGGAAACTAAAGTCTCTTATGTCCAACTTGACTCGATCCCCCCGATAAAAAACCAATGACAAAACTCTGAATTCACCCAGATTCTTACGATATATCCAAAACCTCCCTCTACTCGCCTCTCTTGAAGATACAACGGAGCAGTTGCCATGCGCAAGCA